ATGGTGATATAACGCCTTTGATCCAACCCGCAGTGACCTTGACATTGTGGTAGATGCCAGGCTGATGGTCGACGCCGCATCCAAAGCCCGCTGATGTAATTCCAACAAGGTAGTAACGACCCCCGTCTAAAACTATAAGCGGTCCTCCGGAATCACCTGGAAAGGAAAAATAGCTTATAAGTTGCAAGTATCTATGCCATTATATTAAAACATGATACTCTTCTAGTGGCAAACTGTTTGATGGGAACATAGCTAGATATAACGAACAGAGGATCTATTACGAATCTTAGTGACAGTTGCGTGAACGTTTTAACGTTATCGACAATTTTTTTTGTGAGATTCGATGTTGTACTTTATGGTGACAGGGGGACTGCACTAATCCAATAAAACTGGTGTCGATAACGTTGCTAAAATGTAGTTACGACTTTTCGTTTTAAGCTCACTGACTTGATTTTTACGTCACATCGCCTCCTTCTCTTAGTGACGTTTTAGTAGTCTGATGTTGGTTTTAATATTTTTTAACGTTACCTAAGCACGCGTCCTGATGTCCGTCCGAATGTCCGGCGCATATCATCTCCGAGTGAATCTCTACGGAGATCTGTTTGCTTTGGTGCCAGTTGATACACTGATCTTTGCCTGTTAACAACATTTTTTTAATAACAAACAAACATGCACTCGACCACGATGACCGCTTGAAATAAAGTTGTTGAAAGAGTTTATGCTCTTGTTTTGTTTAATAAGTGCCCACTCTACATAACGATGTCAAATATATTCAGCCAAGTATGCATTTGTTTCTGTCTATTTTCTTTTTATGTCTTAATTCATTTAGATGCTGTATGAATGCACATTATTATTTTAAATTCAAAACGTTCATTCTCTAGATTGTTAATTCTGTGGTCATAGGTCAGAATATGATAAATGTAATATTATGCATGTAGTTGTTATATGACCAAATAAAGGACTAGTTTTTTGGCGATTACATCTATATTAATAAGTAAAACTAAGAAAAATGTATTTGTTTTGTCTGTCATTGTCTGATCGGTGACAACAGAATTATTTCCTTTGCTCTTTTAATCGACCCACAAGAACGTAAGAGACATTTGTAAAACAATTGACTAACAAGTTTTTCACTTACTAAGAATAGGAACGGTGGCGGACCGAAGTAAGTTTGTTCCGGTATGACCATTACTGGCATCAGTCTTTCCCCAGCCGGCAATCACACCGGACTTGCCGCGTAACTCTAGATCCAGCTCTGGCAGACAGATGGGCAGGATATGCCCCGTGTACGTGATAGGCCGGGACAGCTTTAGTAACGCGATATCGTAACGATCCGGTTGCGTCATACGAAATTGAAATAGTGGATGAAGAATTTTTTGGATCACCCTGTAACAAAGTTAAAGATGCTTTATTCAGTGTTTTTAATACTCAATGATGCACTTAATAATAAAGGATACATTGACCATAGATGGAGTTTGTAAGAAATATTCGTCTAGTAAGCACTGATGCTAGTAATTGTAATCTTTTACAGCTTCGTTAGTTATCTTTACCCAAGTTTCCTGGCGGTGTGAGCGCCGGCAGCTGTATCTAAGGCTCCCAGCCA